GACCATATTAAATGAGAGTAGGCTTTCTAAATACAATGGGAAGCCAGTGAAGGCTTTTAAGTGGAGAGTGACATGATGGGATTTACCTTTTTAAAAGATTACTCTGGCTCTTATTTGAAGAATATATTGGAAGGTGCAAGAATGGAAACAAACTATTGCAGAGGTCCAGAAAAGATGATTATGACTTGGACTAGAGTGAATGGAGAAAATACTGATTGGGAAACGTTCTAGAGGTAACATTGACAATATTGGGTAGTGGTTTGGATGTGGGTATTGATGGGATTGCTGTGTCGGGAATGATTCTGAAGTGTCTCCCCTAAGTAGCTGAGTGTATGAAAATATATGTCATTTATGAAGCAGAGAGAAAATACAGAGCAAGATTTAGGCATGGGCATCAGGTTTATTTTAAATATATTATCATATGGATGTGAAATAGCCATGTAAAGATGTCTAGTGAGCATATGACTCTACAGTTTAGAAGAGAAGTCAAGGTAGAGATACAGTATGTAATAACATAGGAATGGGAAAGAATCATCTAGAAAGCCCAAGTCTTGAAGAACTCCAACTTTAGAAGTCAGACAGAAAGCAACCAGGTATTCTAGAATCCAAGAAAAGAGAGATTTCAAAGTGGTAACAAATAAGATGAAGCCGCTGAGAGTTCTAATAAAATGAGAACTAAAATATCCATTGGATTTAGTAACAGTTATTGATTACCTTAACAATTGCATTTTTATTGGAAATGCAAAAGCTTAAAAAGTGAATGCAAACAGACCTTCAGGTAAAGATGGCAAATAATCTTATGCATCTAATTGTACTCTCTCCTGAAGCCTCTCTTAAACTTCAGTAAAGGGACACACGCACACATACACACACACGAGGGGGAAAACTGGAGAAGAGACAATAGCAACACAAATTTAGGAAACTAAAAAGGAAACTGATAAGAAGTAACTGACTTAATAGATCCAAGAAAACCAACTATTGCACTCGTCCCCCCTTATCCACAGTTTCACTTTCTGCAGTTTCAGTTGTCTATGGTCAAAGTCCAAAAATATTAAATGGAAAATTCCAGAAATAATTTATAAGTTTTAAATTATGCACTGTTTTGAGCAACATGCCGAAATCTTGCACTGTCCTGCTGCATCCCACCCGAGACATTAATCATCCCTTTGTTCAGGGTATTCACGCTGTGTACACTGGACCCGTTTCAATAGTTACTTAGTAGCCTTCTCAATTGTCCAGATATCACAGTGCTTGTATTCAAGTAACTCTTACCTAATAATAGCCGACCCCCAAAATGCACAAGTTGGGTTGCTGGCAACTTAGATATGCCATAGGAAAACCATAAACTTTATCATAGGTATGTATGTGTAGGAAAAAAACGTATATATATAGGGTTCTATACTATCCATGGTGTTAGGCATCCACTGGGGGTTGTGGAACGTATCCCCTGCAGACAAGTGGGTATTACTGTACTTGAAGAAATAACCCCAGAACCAAAGGGTATACATTTCCAGATTGAAAGAGTCGAGAAAAACACAGCAAACCGTGTACTTCAGTATGAAATTTCAGAACACATTGTTATCTGTTGCCTCTGATTGTTTTTGACAAACACTCCCTGGGGTTTCCACAGGGCAGAATTCCAAGACAAGTCAAAAACAGTCTTGCAGGTAAGAAGCTCCAGCCCCATTTCATCCCTTGCAGTGGCTGCCAAGCTAAAGTTTTTACTATATGTTTAGGAAAAAAACACAGTATATATAGGGTTCAGTACTATCACTGTGATTGCTGCTGCTTGTTTTCAAGGCTACCGAAAAGCTGGGGATGGGGAGATGGGTATAAGACACGTTAAAAACGCCACAGAGCTCGCTATTCTTACCAAGAAACATCCATTTTCCTTGAATAAATGCTACTGTAACAGCCTTTTGTACATTTCCAGAGTTCTGAGAAAGCTAATTTGGACAATTTTTGCCCATATTCTTATTGCTTTTATGGAAGAGATGATTTTCAGAGATCTTTACTCAGCTATTTTTGCTGATGATCAACATGTGGCCCTGTAAATTTTAGTTAATTAAAATAAAATTCAGTTTCTCAATTGCAGTAGCCATATTTTAAATGCTCAATAGCCACATGTGAACATTTCCATCATCTCAAAAAGTTCTATTGGACTGTATGGCTTTATTATCCTCACTTTATAGATAAGTAAACTGAGGCTCAAAAATGTTAAGTAACTAGCTCAGAGTCTCTGAGATATCAAAGTGCCATGTTCTTAACCAACAAACTGTTTTCTCTCAGTGATTTCCAGCTTTTTCATGTCAGGGAATACATAAAAAATGATATTTGTATAGAGCACACCAGAGTAAATGGATGTGACTACAAGATCACCAGCCCCAGTTTTCCTACTACTCTTGGCTCTGCACACCTATCCAAGGAATAGGAGGATCAGTAGCTCAGCACGCTTATGTGTCACAACACCCTGATCATGAAGTTCTACTAGACATTACAACAGTGGTTCTCAAAGTGTGGTTCCAAGACCAGAAGCATCAGCATCACCTGGGAACATGTTAGAAATGTAAATCCTCAGGCCCCATCCAGACCTACTTAATTAGAAATTCCTGGAGTGGGGTCAATTAATCTGTAGTTTAACAAACCTTCCAGATGATTCTGATACACATAAAAGTTTGAATACTCTGTATTATAAAAGCTTATTCATAGAACGGTGCTAGGAAAATTAGTTGACCATCTGAAACAACATACATACACACACATTGTGTGTGGCGGGGGGGTGGAAAATCAATATAAAATTGAAAATTTTGTATTCTAAATACCACCTTTTATCCCTCTATTTGGAAACATTGCTATCTATATCCATGTGAATCAATTAATTCTTTTGTTTTGAACTAATGTGCATTTTATGAGTTTCTTCAGTTGGATTTTATGTTCAAACTCTCCCAAACAAGTGAACACCTACTTTTTCTTTGGCATTATTGTAATATTTAGATATTGTGTTTATTAATTTCACTATCTGATAGTAGAATTAATAAGTTAAAGCTACAGTGCTAAACACAATTACTCTTTATGTGTTAGCCCCAAGTTTAGAGGTTCTTTTTTAAGGTCATTGACTCCTCAGAGAATCTGTTCATTGAAATGGACATTTTCACTAGAAAAATATGCATATTTAATGTTTTGCATAAAATTTCAGGTTCCTTGATTTAATTGTAAAGTTCATGTTTTGTAGGATGGTATGTATTTTTGACTTGATTGCTTTACTTTTATTATATTAGTTAACTTACTCCTTTTTCTCTCTCACCTTTGCTCTAAGGTGGATACATTGCAAATAGCCTAGCAATCATGACAGATGCGCTTCATATGTTGACTGATCTAAGTGCTATCATACTGACCCTGCTTGCTTTGTGGCTGTCTTCCAAATCACCAACGAAAAGATTCACCTTTGGATTTCATCGCTTAGGTGGGTAACTGGCAGTTTCTTTTTGTTTGTAAAATTTTATGGTAAAACCACAATGAACTATAACTTTTGATTAACTGAAATCTTTCTGGTGATAGCCTGTTGAAATAGACAAACAAAGCAAATGAAAATAAAACAACAGGATTCATTCAAACACATATCTTCCAAGGTACATTCAGCCCAGTCAGCTAAACAGTTTACACATATAAAATTATGTGGTAATCATTAATTTTTAAATGGGTTTCCTATGTCCTTAAGATGTTATTAGAATAACGTTTACCTTCAGTTTATTGAACCAAGCAAAACCACATGGGTTTAATTCATTAATGAGTATTAACTTCCTTCTTTCACTTCAGGTATTCCAACCGAAGCTATTATAAACCAGATTTTAAGCATTACTGTAATATATATATAACATATACTGTGTGGCTGACCTTCTTTGAGGCCTTTGTATCAACATAATTCTGTAAATGCTGACAAAGATTCTTTGCTTGACCTTTAGTCAGTCTCCTGAACATTCTCCCAAACCCATCTGTGCATTTCCTTATAAAATCTAGTTTTAGCAAGAACCTTGCTAAGCAAATTTAACAGACCCTACTACTCTTAATATCTGATGTCTCCTCACCCTGGCCTGTCATCAGCAAGAATTCTGAGATCAGTTTAGCCAGAATCCCCCTTTCTCCTGATGTTTCCTCAGTAATTTTCCATCCACTGACTCCCACCCTGCTTCTTGGCTATAAATTTCTACTTGCCCATACAGTATTCAGAGTTGAGCCCAATCTCTCCCCCGCTGTAAAATTCCACTGCAGTGGTCCCTATACCTATCTTAATAGCTTCCCCCCTTGAATAAAGTCTTCTTTACCATGTTTTAACAAGTGCCATTTTTCTTTTTAACAATGCACACATTTTATTAAATATTAATATTTAATTTATTAATATTAATGTTTAATTAAGAGGTTAAAATTATATATAATGTTATCCACACAACTGTGCTTCTTGCTTTTACTGTTTTTAAATGTTTTACTTATTTTTAAAATACATATGAAATAATTACCTGAATTATTACATGAAGTGTCATATGACCACGTGTCACTTGCTTAGAATCCAAAAGTTGACATTTAGGTAGCTTCAGCAAAGTTTTCTGTCTTAAAGAACCAGAATTAATATCTTGTCATTTTATTTTGTGGAGACACTGACACTCTTGGCTAATATATCAATCAATCATTCCCTTTCCTTCTTTGTTACTTTTTAGCCTAATCTTGACTTAGAGTCTAGGTCTTCCAAATTTAATCACTGGGTCTTCTAATGTAAAACTTGACATTGTAGCTGAATGGCTGTATTCCAAGTAGTTTCCAAGTCATCAGGTTGGGAATTTATCTGGCATCCCCACCGCTCAGGACTCTTAACTGCTGTACAAGAGAGCTAACGCCCTAAGTGAGGTTTTTCTGTTATTTTTTAAGCCACTGTGTAATGCATTTGGATGTGTTACTAAAAGAAACCCCACTACTTTCCAACATATTATACATTCGTTTATTGATTGCCTTGAAGTTTTTTAACAACTTTAAAATTATTTTCAAACTTTATTTTTTTTGTGATTTAAACACCTGCAATTTAAAATCGAAAACATAACATCATGGAATGGAGATTTTTACCCTCTAGTTCTATTTGAGAGTACATTTCATTTAGTCCTGTGGTTCTAAACCTCTTTTAGGATATCAACCGTTTAGAACTCTAATAAAAATTACAGTGGTACTCTACCCCCAGAAACATGCAGTAACAGAACATAGGAAGTCCTACATATAAGTTAAAAACCAATAATCATGAAAATTCTATTAAATATCAAAGAAGTACTTAGTACTTATCTAGATAGTCATTTTGTTTCTTCATAGATAACAAGCACTATGAAAAGATGAGAGAAAATTGAACCGATTGGTCCTATTGTGTCTCTGCAAATTTCTATAGAAAGTCAGATCTTTCCTTTTTCTTAAAAGTACTAAGTTCAAGGTAATGGACAAGATATCAACATTTGACTCCTGTCTCTTCTGATAGTCCATTGAAATAAAAAGTACCAAAACAACAGAGAGAAGCAAATGGTTGGTCACCAATAAACAAGAAATTTCCAGAAATTTCTGGAAGTTGGAAAGTAAATGAGTGTGGAGTGAAGAAAGATACAAGCCAAGAAGTTGCAGCCTGGAGTACACAAAGCTAGGAACTGGATCAGCCCAACACATCTCCAGGGAAGACACGGAACAGAGATGAGCAGAAGTGAGAATCGGGGTTGAAAACAAGGAAGATTAATTGAATGACTATAAATGGAAGCTGCTACCACTAGCTGACTAGGCGCCTACCTTCCTTCCTACCCCCACCTCCACTCAGGCCAACTGCATTCCTTCCCTCCCCCCTAAAAAAACAACAGGTAGTTCTAAAAAGAAATTGAAGAAAATGTTTGGGGAAAAGCTGAGACTTCTAGTGTGGATGTTGATGCTCCAAAAGAAGTCTTTTTCATACTAAGATCAGGGTTCTGCAGTTTTATAGCTTGGTCCCCTACCTACTCACCCTAAATATACTTGTCCTAGTCTGCCCTGCCTTACACCCCTTATTAGTAACCATTTTAATTAGTTGATTGCTTATCCTTTTGGCATTTCCTTTCTACAAAGGATAATTTCCCTGTTGTTCCGCCTTAAATGTGAATGGTCAACCAAAGATCTTTCTGCAAGTTAGAAAAAACAGCAGCATGAAAGAAAGTGAACAAAACTAAACTAACAGAAAAATTAGTACTAGAGTGAAGAGAAGTAACTTAAGGAACAGAAGAAAATGTTTTAAATACTCTTATTAATATACTCAGAATAATAAAAGAGAAATATTTTGAAATAGAAATGTATAAGAACAAGCTCTTTGAAATACTTCTGAAATTTAAAAAAAAATTTTCCATAGAAGGACTAGAAAACATAATCAAGAAAGTCTCCCAGAATATACAACAAAAAGATAAAAACGGGAAGAAAAGTTAAAAAGTATAAAAGCACAATCTAGGAGGTCTGAAGTTGTATTATTAAGAACCTCAGTAAAACAACTTGAAAAATAAAGGGAGTGACTGCTTAATAGGTATAGGGCTTCTTTTTGGGGTGATGAGCATGTTCTGGAATTAGATAGTAGTGATTGTTACACAACCTTGTGCATACATTAAAATCCACTGAATTGTATAGTTTAAGATTGTTAAAATGGTGAATTTTATGTTATGTGAATTTTATCTCATTCAGTAAAAACACACAAAAAAGAAAACAAACAAATGACCCTGGGATGGCAGAGGGAGAGAAAGGGGAAAGTGGAGAATCTAGACCATTTCTCTGA